GAGCTGGTGGATCAGTTGTTACCAGCAATGTCTCCATCCTTGGACCCCTGGCTGTCAGTTTTAGAGACAACATGACAGGACACGATGTGATGATTCGTATGTAACAAGTATTCTTTATGCGTTGTCGTTTCAATTTGTTTGTCCGAGGCCTATAGTAGTGTATCTTTTCACTGCTATACACTTTTGTTTGTACACATTCATCAATAGTATGACATGATATGAGGTTAGGGAGTGCATGTGCTCATCCGGTTCTGTAACTTTTCGAATCGCTTTGCTCATTTTAGAGTGGACCCCATACTCAGGAACCATCGCAGCCTGCAGTGAGTGACATTGAGCAGCTCCTCCAAGTTCTGCAGGCCGAAGCTGCTGTCAAGGGACAGGAGTGGTTGCAGTCACAGCTGCAGGGAAAGGACATTAACGAACTTCGGAAGCTCAGTACGCACTTTGGTCTGTCTCATCGAGCTGCTGACTCTCTGCGTAAATTGAGCAAGGCAGAGCTGGTGCATCAGTTGCTACAAGCAATATCTCCATCTTTGGACCCCTGGCTGCCAGTTTGTGAAACAACATGACAGGATGTGATTGTTTGTACGTGACATGTGTTCCCTATGTATCGTTTTGCATTATAATACTTTCGTTGCAAGTATCGTCTACAGCTACCAAGACTTGCGCAGCATAACCATTGAGGACAGACCTCAGCAACCGATCGCGACCGGGAGTTGTCCGAAGCCTTTGGTTGCTAAGTATGTCTTCGACGGTAGTGCTGTGCATGCTGTTGCACTGTGACATTTGGACGTTCGAATGGTTTCATGCAGACCAGTATCTTGCAATTTCGATACCCAGGAGGTGTTTCAACGCCGGGGATTGTTGTGGGTTGTCATTGTAATTTCGTGTTGTCATCGGTGGTTGTCGTCGTTGATTTCGGACCTGCATCGAGGATCTCCATACTTCGTTGGACGCTTTGCGAGCAGAGGCTGCAATTCGTGGCAAAGAGTGGTTGCAAGCCGAACTGGAAGGGAAGGACACGGATGAACTCCGAAAGCTCAGCTCGGTAGCTAAACTGCCTACAAGAGTTGCTGTTTTCAAGACGATGTTATCGAAAGCGGAACTGGTGGGTCAGCTGCTGAAAGCCTTGGCTGCGAATCCTGAGACTCGATGGCATGTAGCGATGTAGCGCTAATGGGATCATTCAGGTTTGGGATTTGGATGAGATCTCTTCATCCAAACACAATTTCGCACAAAGCTATATATATATACATATACCATGGTCTCGCACCTGCATACAGTTACGAATAATACTAGTATCTGTTCAAAGTACTTGCATATTTGAGAGACTCGATCGACCCAGGAAGAGGCTCCACCGAAGGCACCGCACCAAATCTGGCAATCCCTGTGCGATGATGTGGAAGTGAAAGGCCAGGAGTGGTTGCAGAAGGAGTTGGAAGGAATGGACGCGAATGAATTGCGGACGCTATGTGTACCTGCAGGTGTTTCTTGCCGGGCAGGGGACTCTCGGAGATCAAAGGCTGAGTTGGTGGAACTGCTGACGAAAGCAACTTCTCCATCCATTGAGCCTTGACAACAGCTTTAGGAAAGAAGCGTTTGTTTGTCTTTTCGTTCTGATTGGTATGTTGGAATTTTGCTTTTGTTGTTGTTAGTTTTCAGGACGGTGGTGAGTGTGATGTTCTGACATGTCAGCGATAAGGTAACCGCTGAGCAACTGAAACTGGAGGCGGTACAGCAAGGCCCCAATGCACGGGCGTGGCTTCGTCGCAAATTGAACACTTTCTCGGCCAAGGTAGCCAAGGATTCAGTGGACGGCCGAAGCCCGCTGGCGGCGCTGGGTGCTGAAGTCGGTGTGGAAGACTGTCTGTCTAAGAAGGCGCTGATCGAGCGCATGATCGCCGTCTTGCTGCCAGAAGAATCATTGGACAGCAGCGCCGCGGTGCAGCGGCATGCTTGGCGATTGCTTCGGTCCTGTCTTGGAAGACAAGCAGCAGGCGAGCAAATCGATGCCGATTTCTTGAGCACAGAGGTAGTCGACACAGATCCTGGGTCCACGACCGGAAGTTGTCCGAAGTCGACCCTTGTTCCAGCTGAACGTGCAGAGACTCCACAAGGCACGAGATCCACGACCGAGAGTTGTTCGAAGTCGATCCTGTTCCGACTGGGTGTGCAACTATATCTGATAACCGACAAAACAACATGAGTTGAACTGTGGGTAATTTGTTTTGTTTTTCAAGTGTTGCATTTGTATGAGCATTGGTTGTCCTGATGCCAGGTTGGGACGTGCGATTTCGCACACTTCGGCGGCTCTTACTACCGGGACTAGCGTTTGAGCTCGACCGGCGCTGGATAAAAAAGAATCGACCGGGACTACCGTTTGGGCTCCGAAGTACAGTGCAACAGAATATACATTAATAGATTTGGTAATAACGTGATAATAGTATCATAATCATAATGTATATATATATATATTATATATTGTGTCATCTCATCATCATCTCATTTTGTTTAATCTTAATGTTTTGAATCATCATATATCATCTCTTCATTTCTTTAGTGCTCATTCATCTTCTGTTACTTCGCTTTTCTTCCCTTCTATTTGTTCTCTTCCGCCTACTTGCTTTCGGGCCACCCTGTCGTCTAGTTGAAGTGCTTTCGCCAGATACCAGCCTCCTGTCAGGGAATGTCATCGACTACGCCCTGATCCACACCAGTCTGGCCAGCACTACGTCACTCACCACGGAGTGGGCCATCCCTTGGCGGCCTCATGCACTCCTTTCGTACCACTTCAACATAGAAAGGCCACCAAAGAGTACAGACAGATCCAGTATTTCCCACCGCTGCCAGCCACACCGGACATCGATTTCCGGCCTTGGACCACCTACAATTTTAAGTCAACGGCCTATGAGCTGGACCTCTATGGAAATCCAGCCAATGACACTGCCCAATCATGGGCGGACTGGCTTTCATGCACTGAGCAGTACCTCTTGCAGGAACACCCTTGGGCTGCTCAAGGCCGCGGCTCCAACCTCAGGGCATGTCACAAACCTTTGACACCCAGCATCACCGTCACTACGTGGAAGAGGGGACGGCCAGCCTTCTGGGAACAACTGAGAGCCAGGTTCCAGCTGGCTCTCAAACAACCTCCACAGCAAGTACGAGGATCCACCAAAGGCTTCATGCAGGCCACTGCTGATGTCTCCAAGCATTGGGTTGGCACTCCGACCCGGGGCCAATTCCTTGACACCTGCCACCACTGGCATCGATACAAAGACAGCCATGCTGCAGAGCTGGTCAGCCACACCATTGACCATCAACTTCAACTAGCGCAACAAGCTGCCAATGATGAGAATCATCTCCAATACAAAGCATGGCTAACACAAGGATACACCAAAGGCCTGAAAGGGCTATTCCGTAGCCTTCGCAGCAGTGAGCTGGCTTGGGAGAGACCATACCGTAACTTGCCTCCAGATGAACGAATGACCCAAAGACTCAAAGATTGGGGTCAGCTCTGGCAAATCAACCAGGACAACCAACCACCAGAACGGGCTATCCTCCAAGGCCTTGCCCGGGACCAAGTTCAACAGCTGGAGGCACTAACCATCAGCCAGCTGACCTGGGCTCTTCGACACCTGCCTGATAAAGCGTGTGGACCAGATGCCGTAACAGCCCAATTGTTACGAACAGCCCCACCTCTAGCTGTCAAGGCCCTCCTTAAACTCTACCAAGAGATGGAAGAGAAAATCCAGTTGCCAACACAGCAGCAAATGCACATGGTTGTCATGCTTCCCAAGAATGCGGCCAAAGAGAGACCCATCACACTGACCTCTCTGCTGTACAGGGTTTGGTGTCGCCTCCGCAAGCCCCTGCTTTATGAGTGGCAGAAGCAACTTCCAGCAGCCATGAACCACGACAAGGCCCGACCCGGAGCACATGTGCTGTACGTGGCATTGGAACGGCTGTTGAGACAAGAAGTCCACAGAGCCAATGGACGACGCGGAGTGACCTGTTTGATGGACATGTCAACCTTTTACGACACCATCCATCTGCAGCTCCAGGCAGAGGCTCTCAAGCTGAACTATCCTCCTCTCATGCTTGAGATGGCGCTGCAAGTCTACCATGGTCCCAAAGCCATAGTGGCTGAACAAGAAATGACACCATTCTTCACCGTCACCAATGGTGTGCCGGCAGGTTGCCCCCAGGCACCTCTGCTTGCCAAAGCAGTCCTTGCACCAGCCCTGCAACCCTGGCAGCTTACTCACCCAACCAACCATTCACCTCTCTAGTTGGGTGGATGATGTGGGCTTTGACACCGCCAGTCAAGAAGCTGTTGCTGCCTACAGGGACTTGCGTGGGAGACTCTTACACCTGGGCCTCCAGGTCAACCCAAGAAGACAGCATTCGTTGCCACTGACAAAGCCACAGAGAAAGAATTCAAAGCTCTGCTGCAGGACGACGAACCCCAGGTGGCACCAGTCATGCGGGATCTGGGCATCGATCACCAGGCGGCCCGAAAACGAAGAATCCCGGTCATGAAACAACGCATCAAGAAGGCCACAGCCCGCAAAGTCAAGTTGCGCAGCTTGAAGATTCCAGCGCTCAAAGTCCGCCTGAGACTGCACCGCGGGGGCATTCAACCGGTGGCATTGTGGGGTGTTGAGAGTCAAGGCCTGGCTCCACGGTACAGAGCGGCCCTCCGCAATGGGATGGCAAAACATCTAGGACACCACACCGGAGGACTTCTTGATGTCACATATGACATACATGCCAAACGCTACATCGATCCCAGTGATCAAGTCCTGATCCAGCACATCAAAGCCATCCACCACCTCATCCAGGCCTGGCCAACAGACCAGATCCAAGCCCTGGAACAGGCATGGCGCCAGACATACCAGCACTGGAGTGGCCAAGAGGAGTCAAACTAAGATCCGTGCACTCCTGGCAGACTAGTTGCACTCGCCAACCACACCAGTGACCAGGTCAAAGTCATTGTGCAGCTAGCCACAGTATGGGAGGCTTGGCACTCCCCAAAGCACCGCAGCCCGTACATGGACATCCTTGCTGAAGTACCACCCCAGGACTTCCAAAGAGTCACGGTACTTTACATCAGCAAGAACACCAGAACACCGGATGCACCAGCAAATGAGCCACAGCTCAGAAGGAGGCAAAGAGATGCTGCCCTGGCTGCATGGGAAAGGGCAAAAACCTTCTATGATGCCAAGCACGAAGAATGGCAAGAGATCCTGGATCAACCACAAACTGATCTACGAACATGCAGTCAACAGACTCAGCAAGATCTTTGCAGACAACATGCACTATGTGCACCAAAAAGCGCCTAACCGCCAGGGCAAACAGACAAAGCAATACAAAAAGGAGCTGGTGAACCGCTGCCGCAAACCGTGGGACGGCAATCATCATCACTGGGAGCCACATCAAAGAAGCGGCTATCAATGCCGCAGCTGCGGAATCAGGATGCATCAAAGTCTCACGACAGAAGTCCTGGAAGCCCGGCTGACCGAAGACTGCCCACAGATGCTGATTGATGATGGTCCCACTACTGCAGAAGCAACAGCGCCTCTCCCCAGGAAGCTAACCAGATCTCAACCGATCAAAAGCCTCCTGGATCAACAACCGGAACACCCGAACCCGGGTCAGCACCAGCTTGCAGAAACAACGGGATACCTGAAATGCCTGGTGTGTGGCATCAATATCCACAAGAGAGTCAATGAAGCCGCCTTCAACACCTTCATCCAGAGCCCCTGTGTCAACCAAGCCTACACTCAGGCACACACAGGCCACCCAAGCCATGCACTTTGGCAGACTGGGGAAAAGGTGAAGTGCACCCAATGTGGCACACACTGGAACTTGCATGGTGACCTCCGCATCATTGCAACCCAAGCTCTACACAAGCCATGTAAAGGAGCTGGCGCCAAGGGCTCACCGCCCATCAGTGACTTCTTCAAAAAGAAACCAGACCAGTCCAGCAGCCACAGCTCTGACACCTCACAGAAGGAGGCAGCTTTGGAGGCAGCTTTAGCTTCCAGACCAACACCAAGAAGACTGAGCTTCCCTACGGCGCTAGATGAGCAAGAGCAAGCTGAACTCGCCCAGAGTCTGTCTGCTTTGGCCATGACACCCAGCCTCAATGCAGACAAGACTGAAGAAGAAGAGCCTGGCTTTGCTGTTGATTTCTTCTAGCTGCCGAAGGCCACCTGAGACGACCCCTGAGGCACAGCCTAGCAGACACCGGCCAAAGGCCTGCGACAAACAAGCACCTCTAGCAAAAAAACATACATACATACATACATACATACATACAGACAGACAGACAGACAGACAGACATACATACATACACATACACATACACATATACATATACATATACATATACATATACATACATACATAATCATACATACATAATCTTACAGACATAATCATGCATACATAATCATACATCCATGCATGCATGCATACATACATACATACATCCATGCATGCATACATTCATTCATTCATTCATTCATTCATTCATTCATTCATTCATTCATTCACATATACATATACATATACACATACATATACATACATAATCATACAGACATAATCATACATACATAATCACACATACATAATCACACATACATACATACATACATACGTACATACGTACATACGTACATACGTACATACATACATACATACACAAATACATACATACATAATCATACAGACATAATCATACAGACATAATCATACATACATACATACATACATACATACATAATTGTATATATGTATAGATTTTTGTATTAATGACCCATGACCAGTTCGCAGACTTATGCATGTTTTAACTCATTGCGATGGACGATTTCTTATTGGATACGTGATATGTTTCATAGTTTTCGTCAGGTGGATCCTAGTTTTGGTAACTTTGACGGGAAGCTTTGGCAGGATGATCCTGTGCCGAAGTTGAGACATCAAAATGATCAAGATGAGTTATGAGACGTTAGGACAGTCCTATCACGCAACAGGTAAAATATGGTGGAATGGATTGAAGTGACCGTTCTGAAGGCCCCATGAAACTTCAAGATTCTGACACCATGTCAGCCTGTGCCCAGCACATTCCACCAGGTTTTTACGCAGTTGGCAGACTTTGGAAATGGCATCAAGGTGGCGCAGTCTGTATAGATGTGTGCGAGTTTTTTTATTCCCATGTTGGTTTTCTTCATGGCATCAACTTGAAGCAACTGACATGGAATGTTCGAGTCGTTTTCGGGCGCAAGTGGGCTCTGTGGGATAGTTGGATTGCTGTTCGCCCGTTCTGTCGATTTTCACGGGGGCACCGGGGCCCCTCCGAATGACTGATGAGATTCCGCAAAGGTCTACCGGAGAGGACCTTAGCTTGGAGCGACACGGGCATGACGAATATGTAAGATCACAAACAGTGTCCACGGGTCAGCACAATTTTACCCGGACCCTCAGTGAAAAATCACAATATGGTCCCTCAGTTTTAAAGAGTCCAATGGACAATCGATTTGCTGCGTGCTGCTTGCTGCCATTCTCATTTTGCTGAAGTCCAGTATACCGTCACTTCCTGCCGAGCATTTGGTGCCTTGGACGGCAAGTTCGGGTAAGTTGGAAAGTGGGATGATGTGGGATGTTTCCAACCAGTTTTCATTTTTAAATAAAGGGCGTTGGACACTTCGTGGGGATTCACGGTGTTCATAGGTTTTTCATGTGATGAGTGTTCAATGGGTTTTTCCATTGGTTGTCGGGGCCAGGACACATGATTCTTGGAGGCCCGTGAAGTGAGGATTCAGTTTGGTTTCCCCCGAACAACAGACATCTCTGCAGTGAGGGGTGACAGATCTCTGCAGGAGGCCATGGAGCTTGCAGCAATGGCCTCAACGGAGGTGCCCAGCTCGGTTGAACAGTGGGAACGCAACAGCTGACCGATATTTGTTGAATATATAACTAAGATATATTAAGATAAGAAACCCGAAAATGATAGATATTCACACACACATACATACATATATATATATATATGTAATTATGTTTATTGTGTTGCTTCTTTTTGCCAACCAGATGCTGCTGCTGCTGATGATGATGATGATGATGATGATGCTGATGATCGATATGCTTTATGTTGTTGGAATTTATTTGATGGAGGTATTTGTATTGTATATGATGTATATACTGTTTCTTAATGATTAGGTGCAGAATGAAACGATTGGGAAGCGATCTTCAATTCCTATTTGCCCATGTCATCCCGTACAACAAAACTGAACTTGACTGCAAAGTATAATATAGCCGTTTCTTCGGACTAATTCCCTGAGCTCCGCCCTGAATACCTGATCTTGCAGGGCTTGGAACAAATGCCGATGCATGTGCCAATTGGAAATCTGGGACAACAAGTGCTGGAACCTCAGGGAAGAGGAGGGCAAGGAGGGTGAGATCCATGTTGAAGCACATTGAATCTACGAATATCTATCGAGATGGTGAAGCCATGGTAAATGATCCATGGTGCATGGTGAAATGTCAAATCAACAACTGCGGATTCATTTGAGTTGCAGGTCCCCCAGTGAGGCCTCCCATGTCCAGGGCCAGGTCCGCGACCACCTGCGACCAGGTCCATGCAGCCTTTGAGCCAACAGCAACAGCAGCTGCTGCAGCAACTCAATCAGAAGACGAACCAACAACATTTGCAGTGCCCTGGCTGCGTGGATTGCCTTGGAATAGAACTTGGATATCTTGAAGCAACATTGGAAGAACTTGATAGTTAGGATGAGGTTGATGAGTTTGATGAGTGTACGAATTTGGGAATTCATCAGAATTCGGATCAACCGGTATGATTTGATATGGATCCATAGTGATTTGTAGACGAGTTGAGTTGTAGTTGAATTTGGAAGAGGTCGAGTCATCGACTTCTTGACTGTGTGAGTCCAATTGAGTCCATATCAGTTATTTTTGAACACTATCATCCTAAGTTGGTTCTCAACTTTTTGGCGATCGGTGGCTCCTGGTGGCTCGTCCGGTCAGCCCAAGGACCCTTTTGCTGCAGCAAGCGCTGCAGGGAGCACCTCAACCTCAGCAAGCACAGGTGGATCCGATGTCATCAGGATGTCAGGATGACATTTATCCTTGGACGGCACGAATCAGAGTGGATATCGAAAAAATGACAATTGATGAAGGTCCACGCATGTTCACATCTTTGGACAGAGAACTAAATAGGGGATGAATCGGATTGAACCAGACTGTATACAATGCGCGTTTTGAAAGATGACGAGTCCTTAATGTTGATGATATCATGATATTGCATGATATTTCATGATGAAATTCATGATGTTCATGACGGTCAGCATGAACGTTGATCTGCCAGGCCCAGTTGCCTAACCTCCTCACTGGCCGGATGTTGGATCCGACTGGCGCGCTGCCCACGAAGGTTCCCATGGTCCGACGAGTGGGCGGTTGACAGCTTGATGATTCGACCCTGAAAATGGATTCCTTGGCCAAGCCTTGGGCTTCCTGTTGAATATACTCGGCAAAATTAAAGACATCGAAAGGCATCGAAAGGCAAAGACAGATCTTTACAGTCATTGTATGTCATGATAGTGATGAAGTCGTTTTCCGCCCACAAAGTACTGCAAATCGTTTCTGCAAAATTCCGCTGTCAGATTGTGGCAGAAGGAAAACGTTGAAGCTTTGAACGTGAATCAACGTGGATTGAGATGATCGAGTCAAAGCAACTTGAAGCAAGTTCAAGCTGCAAAAACATCTTACAGCCAACGTGAATGACATTGGGAATGAACTTGAATGAAAGTTCAAATCCAAGTGATCAACTGTCAAGTCCTGACATCCTTGAAGCCAACTGGGTCGTGACCCACCCTCGCTGCGTCCTCGTTGCATCGCCGTGCGTCGCAGACCGGTACGATGCCTGGTGTGGCTCTTCCGGGTGGAGCAGTGCCGGCTTTCTACCCGTGGACGCTCAGCGCAATGGAGATGCCATATGATTCCATGGATGTGGATGCATGCGATGGATATAATATGGATGGATGCCATGGATGCCATTTTGAGCGAGCGGGACGTTCAATATCTCGGATACATTTGGATAACTGTATTTGCATGGAGCAAATAGTTGAGAATGGTTTATGGGTATGGCTCCATATTGTTGACCCCATGGATGATGATGGCTCTAGCTTTGACCAATCTGGTGGGTCCATTGGCAGCCTAATGACTTGAGCCAGCTGGTCATGTAGTTGAATGCTGCCAGCCACTCATGCGTTGACTTAGGGCCTTAGGGACTTAGGGATGGACATTGAAAAATTCTACGGGTCAAACATGGTCAAGCAAGACATGCAAAGTGAGGTTGGAAATTGACACATTGCAGTTTGCACCCATTTGCTTGGAAATACCATTTGTATTACCATATACCTTGCATCATGCCACAATCAATCAAACTCAGACGGTGAAATTTTGTTCACCAGGAGTACCTTTGCGAAATTGAAGACCTGACCCTTGCAGTGCCTCAGGATTTACCCTTTGGACCCCAACATGGTTGGAGGTGGCGTTTTGTACTCCAGCCATGTTTTGCAAGCCTTGAGGGTAGCCGAAATAAATCCGGCCTGGCGATGCCAGGAATGCACAAAGGAAAGACCGGAGACGTCCAAAATCGAGCAATCATAAGGAATCTTTCAATTCATACAAAATCATTGAAATAAAACAAATTGGAGTTGAATAGAGTTGGTTCATCTTCATTTTCTCACCTTTTTTTCCATGTTGGGATGGATTGAACGGTTGCTGAAGTGGCGGTTTGCTACGCCAGGCCTGGTGCCTGGGGAGTGGTGAACATGCCAGGGACAGGTGGGACAGGGGACGGGACGACCGGTGGTGATGGTGGCCATGGCGACGGTGGCCATGACTTGCCAATGAAATTACTGAACTTTGTGAGACAATTTTGGATATCATTTTGGAGGGATTCCAGGTAAAAGCCTTGTTGCTACGATAAAAACAGATTTGTTTGGGGCAGGTGGCCCATGCAACCAGCCATGATGGCCTGTCATGCCACTCAACTTGAGGACTTCGCTTCAGCTTTGGCTTAGAGGCCGAACGGCCGAAGCTGAACAGGAGCAGGTAGATGCAGGTAGCTAATAACACGATTAGACATGATTAGACGGTAAGGGGGAACCAACTGTCAGCTATGTGAAATGAAATGAGATGGATTGAAGTGGGTACCTTAAACAACCTCAAGCGCTTCAATGCGATGGTAAATGGTTGTTACTCTACCATAGTGACCTCAAGCAGTTGGTTCCATGTCCAGGTTCGGCGATCAGCTTTGGATCATGTTGGGATCGTTGTTCCTAGTAGCGTCCTTGCTCCTGGTAGCGGTGCCACAAGCCCCTAGTAAGTCCATGGACAACTCGTTGGACCTTCACAGCGTCACATGGCTCGTGCCATGAAATGGTGCCCGCTGCGCCTCCTGCTTTGGGTGCTTCCAGTGCTGTCGCTCACTGGATACTGGTCCATACGGGTGGAATGGGTCGGACCGATACAGCCGATCCATGCTGATCCGACCGCAGGGCATCAGATCCCAAACCGGAAATCCGGGGGTTCAATAAGGTCCTCCCATTTTCACCAGGAAAACCCATTGGCTCAACAGTCGTGGGCTGTTCTCGTTGAAGTTGACATTGAATATAGCTCGAATACAACTTCATTGACTTGTGCTGATCGGGTTGGAATGTTCGGGGATGGTGGACTGACCATGGCCCTCGACCATTCCGAACCATTCCCTATGTCGTCCAACTATATAGTGATACTGCGGAAGCTGTTGGGAGCCAGGTTCATGATGATTAGTTATTAATTACAGTACCCATTATTATCCCAAGCTGGAGTCAGGTTCATGATGATCCAACTACTAAATTGGGGAGCTACACGAGCCCTGATAATCCCTCAAACCATTTTGATGTGATCATGGATGATATGATATCATGATATATCATGTATGATGTCATTGATGCTATCATGACATGATTTAGTGGATGATAACGACCCATATGAGATGATAATGCTATTTATTTCATTGTTGGCTGCCTGGCTAGTACATTTTGTAGAATGAGTAGCAATGAGCAGTTGAGTCACAACAATCATGTCTTCTAGTGTGACTGGACAAG